ACCCAACTGGACACGGCTCAATTGGACACGGCTCAATTGGACACGAGCCACTCACAGCGCTTGAGACTACAAAGCGATTCTAAGCACCGGTCGCTGTGATTGGTGGTGTCCAATCGAGTCGTGATCAATCGAGATCACCCCCGTATAATCAGAGCCCTAGGACTCTACGTATAGAGTCTAATAATGGCTGTGTTCCAAAATTGACTACCAGCACTGAAAATCTACAGTATACGTAACGTAAACTATAGCATTTTGACTGAAGCAGGCAAAAATGGTGAGTTAAAATCGATAAACTAATCTGTATACATGCAACATGATTTAATGAACAATTACGGATATTGTGATTATTACATTTCACTATTCCTGAAACTTTGAAAGGCGCGCGTTATTTGCTGTTTCCGGCCGAGGCCTGGCAATAAATGTAATTAGCCAAGTATTTTATTACGCAAGACATATAAGATAGACTGAAAGTGATTAAAATTGTTAATATAAAATTATCAATAGATTATAGTGAAGAAAAAACTTGGAGTGCGCGGTCAATTAATAGCATTAATTGTACTTCTATGATTATATTATTTCAACACAGTATTTACATTATAAATTAAAATATATATAGTGACATAGTTTGTAGGACATGAAAATATACTCATAAATAATAATATACGTAATATAAATTATGCAGGAAAATATGTAATAATATTGATAATATTTAGATATAGAAACATTATTCATAACGAATTTACAAGATTAAACAATTATATATTATAATATATATTATAATATATAATTATAATATATTAATAAACAATTATTAACATCTTTTCTTTGTTGAATTATTATTTTCATCTATGCATATGTCTGTAGAATATTGTATATAATAATATTTTTATTAATTCGTATCGCAAATAATTTCCGTACTATAAAAACATATGTTTTTATAGTACTAATAACATATTAGTAGTAATTAATAACATATGTTTTTATAGTACGGAAATTATTTGCGATACGAATTAATAACATATGTTTTTGTAGTACTATAATAACATGTTATTAGTAGAGAGAGTAATTAATATAAAAAATTCTATCTCTAATGAAGATCGAGCATTTATAGGATTAAATAGAGTTCTTTAAAAGATAATCGTTTGAATTTTTTAATTAAAAAAAATTTTTATTACGGTAAAATAGAAGAAATTACAAAGATTACGGAAAATTACGAAATTATAAAAAATTTTCCTAATCCCCCCCCAAAACATAATATAAGTATCCGCTCGTGTATATAATCAATTCAAGGTTAATAATTTAAAAAACGAGCAATATATTATTAGATGGATAAAAATTTAATTGTAAAAATTATAATATAATATATTATAGGATCGTATATGTGTAATAACACAAACTATAGAAATCAAAGCCTTAAACGGTCTAGCTAGATCTTAAATACTTGTATGATTCTTGTGTTATATTGTTTATTTATGTCGCCTAAAGTGATGTTGTTCCTTCATATGCTAATTATTGCGAAGAATATTACTAAGGACTCGGTAGTCTAAAGGCTTAAGACGCTCGCACGGAATGCAAGAGATTCGTAATATTTTTCGCGATAAGAATTAATTATTTACAGATTTTAATATGTTATTTAACATTATTAAGATCGTTTCGGAGATCCGAATAAGCATAATAAATTTGTTAAATTGCTAGTCAATTTAACTCGTGATATTACGCGGTAGTTCAGTATATAGTGTTAGCGTTTTCAAGACCGAAAAATCATTTCGGTGCACGTTTCTGGGGACTACATACGTAGTATATAAATTCTCACAAGAATCATACAAGCATTTAAGATCCAGCTAGACCGGCTTTGATTTCTATAGTAAAAATTATAGTTTTTTAAATTGATTGACCTTGAATCGATTATTGAAATCACTTTTAAAATTTTCCTACTAATAAAAGTTTTGACATGATGCGAGATGTTTTTTTGCGTGGCGATTACTCGAAATACGATTCTGATATCGGAGAGAAGCCTGAGAATTATGATAATGAAGGTGTTAGCTAATATCCGTTAGCTATTATATCATTTTGAACGGCATCCAGCGCCCATTCTTTATCTTTCTCCATGTATGCACTAAACATCATGCATTAAATTATCAATTATGATTTTCCGATATGGTCCATTCTTAAGATAAGAATTCGATAACAATGAGCATATTAGGTACGGTACTTTAGAAATCAAGTTATTTTATTCTTTCGATAATTTAATTGTTTTACTTAATATATTTTTATATGTGAAATAATGTAGAAAAAATTATGTAAAAAGAATCATACAAGAAAAACAACTGAGATATCTAACGTATATGTATGCAGCATTAAATAAATGACCTTGTAGCCAAGCAAGGATTACGCTACGGATGTGTGCATGTCTCTTATGAATTGATAAGTAGTTTCGTTAAAAATTGATATAAAAAATAGATGGTGCATGTAAAAGATCTTACATACATATTATTCTTTATATGTACCATTTATTTTTATATAATAATATTATTTAAACTAATTATAAACTCCCATCTTTAAAAGCTTGTCGGTATAGTATCCTTTTTCATCATTACTACGTAGTACTATATACATGCGTAAATTCCTAGTTCGATAAATTGTTTTTCTTTAACGCCGTAAACGGCAGCAACAACACACCGCTCAGTAGTCTTGTTTTGTTACTGACCTGAGTACAATCGTGCGCTATCATTTGCCGGGAAGTGAATCGCGGAAGTGAAATTGAACATAGTATTATACTTATCATTCTATTCATCATCATGTATTTAGCTCAAAATCAATCATAACCGTTATAAATGTCATGTTTAATTCTGATTTTAACATTTGTCAGAAAAAAGTGTATGACATATAAATTTCTTCTTGCTTAGGAAAAAATATTTTATATAAAATTATATATGATTTTATATAATTGTAGGTATATAAATGGACACATTTTATACATAATTATATATAATTATATTGGGTCGGGGAAATAAAAAAGTTTGTTCGTATTTTTTAATTCAAAATTGTATATACAATATCTTCGTCAAAAATGAACCAAATTTGAATTTAGAAAAAGGGTTTTAAAGCTTGAAATCTCTACTTTCGAAAGGTTACTATATTTTTTGAGTTTCTGTGAGTTTGGTAATTTTTACATTTAAAAAACTACGAAAAAGATGAAAAATTTTCTTTTCACTTTGGAGGTCTCTCACGTGCCCAAAAAAAATTTACGAAAATTTTCGACTATCTATCGTGAAGCTTCCCTACAAAATCATTTTTTTTAAAGTTCTTATGAATTTTTGTTCCTGAGTTATTCGCGAGTTAAATAAAGGAACATTCTGAATTTGATTGCTCATAACTCCGATAAAAATCTGACACCCTGTATATAATTATATATAATTTTATATAATTTTATATAATTATATATAAAACATTTTTTCCCAGGACGTTCTCAATAAATACATAATAATAACGTACATATATTGCGTTAATAATTTGATGATAGTAATGCAAATCTTTTTTACAAAGTTTTTTTTACTAAATAAAGATCATTCATTAACTCCGTATCTCATTTATCATACTATATTTATCATACTATTAAGAACTATATTTATTTTTCTCAAATAACACGTATTACTTAAATTAATTACTTTTATCTTATAGGACAATTGTTTTTTCTTTACTTTTACAACTAGACAACGTAACTATGACTTTGTGTAAATATTCATAAATAAGTAAAAGAGTATAAATGAAAGAATGCTTTTCTTATAAATTTCCTTGTTCAATATACAAACCGGTTGAGATAAAAACCGGATAATCAAGCAAAGTAATTATACCGTATTCTTATTGTGTATGATCAATAATAAAATTCTTGAATAATAGTCATAAATATGGAATGACATCAGAGAAAATTAGCTAAGAACTTTGTAGAAAACTTGCATCCCGGAACTTAAGTTTGATAGATTAATGTATATTAATTAATGTGATCATCATAATTCAAGTACGACAGCATTACATAAAATGCAATAAAAAAAGTAATAATAATAATTTATTTATAATCAATACAGCTCATTTATAAATTTTCGGTGTAATTGGTGTGTGGTTTAATACTGTCTAATTTCGTTTCATCTATCATTGGAAATGAACTAAATTGTTCACTTCTAGCCATACATTCGATTTGATAACAGGAATATCTTAATGTCACTTTATACATTATATGTATATCTTTTTTGATATTTGTTTGTGTTAGTCTAGGATAAAAACCACCATACACTACGTGGAATTAATCTTTCTAAACAAATAAAACTTCCTCGCGTATAATTAATTATTGAATTGAGATGTATCGTTTTCTAACTGTATCACTTTTTTATAAATTATTTTACATAGTTACTTACATAACATATTCTAAAGAGATCCGTGTTGGATCTCTCTAGAAATAAAATTAATTCTTTAAAAAATTCAAAAAGATAAAAGTTTCCTTGTCGCTCTATCATTATTCATGGCCAAAGAAGGACCATGAAGGTACCTGCCTTGCGAGGCAACCGTACCTTCTTCATTTGATATCATCGATCTTTCTAACTTGCATTCGCATGCTTACTCTAAAAATCTCTTTTTTTTTGTTTTTTAGGCAAAACCGTTGCAGAATGAAGCCATTGTGCTTCTTTCCAGAATTGGCAATATCATGCTAAATATTTATTTACAAGACAAAGAAAAACCAAGTTAGTTTTGTGAATTCGACGCTTCAATAATTTAATGATGTATTCACCAAATATCGCACTTTGTTTCGCATTTCTGCTTGTTGCTTCGTTCTCGGAATCTCAGGAAGATTTTACGAATGGCGATGAGCAAAGCGACAACTCGACAGTGCAGTCTGATTCTCTCGTAAATTCTACGAAATATCGAAATGAAGAGATGGAACTAATACGGTGCAATTCACACGAAAATTCTATTAAGAATAAGAATCAAACGCAATATGAATCCTATATTAATTCTACAAAAAATAATTGTAAGAATGACTCGATGCGATACGAGTCTCGTGAACATATAATAAAAAATCACGAAGATAATAATCAGACACCTATGGAGTTCTATACGAATTCGACAGAGATCAATAATTTCACGTTACAAGAAATTAATGAAAATATCTCTAAAACTGAAGACAAGATCAGTTCCACCGTACGAATACCGTACGAATACGGCGATTCCAACAGAAAAGTTAAAACTATGTTTGTTAAAAATGAAGAGTGCAATGATAATGTTACTTGCATTCAGCTCTGTTGTCCTTATGGTCAAAACTTGACGATAAAAGGACGATGCATCAAGGACGATCATGGAAAGGATAGGTACAGTCTTCCAAGCATGTACACTCTTCCAAACAAACAGAAGAATAATTCCGAGGATGAAGTACCCTCGGAAGTACCTGACGAACTATTTTTGACTGTTCATGATCCATGCTATACAGAAGGATATGGTCGCCAATTTGTTTATGCCAATACATATTTGTTTCTCACCAATGGCTCTTTGTATATGGCTACTGGCGAATTCATTTTACCAAAGTCTTATTGCTTTGCCATTATGTTTCGGAATGTATATGACGTGATTGTCTGCAATGGTCAGACAAAACTTCCAGTATATATATCCGTGTGCCACCTATTGTCTTTGCCGTTTTTGCTGTTGACGTTTATAATATATTCCATATTACCAGAACTCCGGAATATGCACGGTTTTACACTGCGTGCACACGTGGGTTCATTATTCATCACATACTCGATTATATATTTTGGCCAACAAACTACTGACTTAGCTGAAAAGAATTATTGCGTTGCACTAGGTACAGCATGCATAACTATACCGTCCCATTATTTAAAAAATGACACAACTCAAAAAATTAAGTTTCAGAAAAGGGGAAAAATTATTTTTAACTTGAAACTTATTAACTAATCAAATAGTATAACGCAATCAAACAATAATAAGCTCCTTTGAAAATATATTTTTAAAAACATGATCAAATGTCATTTTTGTCATTTTGTTTTCGCAACAAAACTATATTCTTTTTAGAAATTAAATGCTTATACTGGTCGAAACTGGATCTTTAATGCTTTAAATAATTCAATGTGAATTATATATATCATATATTGATATATATATATATATATTTATATATGTATATACACGAGCAATAATTGCCTCGGTCTAAAGACTCAGAACGTTTGTATACAAGAGATCCAGGTTTACCTCTCAGCCGAGGTAATATCTTTTGAAATAAATTTATTTACAGTTTTTCAGCAGATTAACAGCTTTATAATATGACGCCTGATTGAGCATTAAATTAATAATAAAAAATAATAATTCAATAAAATGAAAATTATTAAATTTTTAAAAGAATAAATAATATAAAATAATATTTAACAAATATTTAGATCTTGAATTATACATTACGTATACAATAACTCACATTTCTGCATGTAGATAATTTTTTGGTTTAAATAGAGAAATTATATAGTGAAGCATTTAATTTGAACAAAATTAACTTTTTTTTTTACTTTGCAATGCTGCAGATCAAGAAAATCGCACAAATAGATATAGTAATAATTGTAAACTATAAATAATTGTCATTCTAATACATGCTTGATGATTAACACATTATTTAATTTCATCTTTTCAGCATATATCTTCAACTTCTTCTTTTTGGCGAGTTTTTTTTGGCTAAATGTAACATGCTTCGATATTTGGTGGACATTTAGGTGAGTAATATGTTTCATATAATATTATACGCACGGTGGAAGTAATAAGGTGTGCTCGTACTTAATTCAATTAATCTAATTTAATTAGTTAAATTAATTTTAAACGCTTTTTAAATGAAATTTGATGTTTAAACTAAGAGTTACTATATGTGAGCATGCTTGTTATAAGTGCAATGTGTGAGTATAAAATGGCGGATTTCAGTCTCTGCGCAGAACGTGACGAAAAGGCGTCCAAGAAATGAGCACGGGTGTATATCAATTGCCCATATCACTAATTGTCTAATTTAAAATAATATAATCTTATTAATAAAGCAGTGAAAAATTATTAGCAACGGGGCAACGTGAGGGTGGAGTCCCATGAAGCGTGTTTGCCGTGTATCGCGTAACCGCGTAACCAATCAATAATCAGTAAAACGCGAAACCAGCGGATCGCTTCTGATTAGTTACGCGGTTACGCGATACGCGGTAAATACACCTCATGGGACTCCAGCCTGAGTGTGTGCAATTGAACTGTGTGTAAGAGGTCGCTCTCAATGAGCACTCCTTTTTACTTCCATCATGATTATACCTTGGTGGAAAAATTTCACTGAAATTATTTCACGTTTTAGAACACTTTTCAGCCAATTTTCAGCAATATTTCAAAGAAATTTCAGTTCATCTTCAGATAAATTTCAATGATTTTTCAATATATTAGTTGAAAAATTCATTTTTAGTGAAATTTCAGCAAATTTTCAGCAATTTTGCTGAAATGTTCAAAACGTAGAATAATTTCAGTAAAATTTTTTCATCAGGGTACGCAATTTAAGTAATGTTATACCACGTACAGTATTCACCAGGGAATAAAAAGTTACTTTTTAAAAGTAACAATTATAGTTATTCATTATTGAGTAGAAAAGTAACAAGTTACCGATTTTTTAAAGTAATTTCCTTGCATAGGAATTGTATTTATGGCTTGTTGATTAGCTTATTTTCTTTCACTAAGTGTTTTTTAAGAAACAATTCAAATCTTATTGTTACAAAGACCGACAAAGACATATATAGTGTAGTTAACAAAGATCCTACTAAAAAAATGATCAACAAACTTAAAGAGTTATTGACCAAATGGAAAAAAAATCGAGCTACATTTCGGAATTTACATATAAATCGATTTATTATAGTGATGGTGTTCTTCCGAGAGTCTATGGTGTCCCAAAAGTACACAAGCTGAATTGTCCGTTTAGAATTATTGGATTGTTTATTGACAGTTCTCTTTATACATTTGCAACGTTTTTACACAAAATAATTGCCAAAAATATACCACAGCCACGAAGTCATATCAATAATAGTTATGATCTTATCAACAAGTTAAAAAATACACATATCGATAGTGACTATTGTTTAATTTCTTTGGATGTGGTTCTAAAATGTTACATTTAATATTGTAAGAATATGCCTAAAATATTACTTAATATTAAATAATATTATGCGTCTATAGGGATATACGAGTGTGCGTGTTGTGTGTAAATTTTTATGATTATTGGATTATTTCACAAAGCTTTAATTTTAAAGAAAGAGATAAGATATTTTTATTTTCAAATACATATATTATATATTGGATAATAATTTAATTGTTATTGACTAAACATAAATCGCATTTTATAGAGAACTCCGTTCGCATCGAAGAGAAGGAAAGCATTATGAAAGAAAGAAGCTTATAATATATTCGAGCTATGCATGGGGAGTTACCATCTTTCTCAACGTTTTCTGCGCCATCATGGATAATATTTCCGATCCACCAGAAAATTTGATCCGACCAGAAATTTGCCAAAAAAAATTTTGGTACGGTGGTAAGTGATACCGGCAAATATTAACGCTAGCAGAAAATTAATATTTAATTGAAATCTTAAAGGAGAGTCACATACGAATTTTCAAAAGTTTCGCGACCACTCGGGGATCGTTTTATTTCTATGTTTTTTCTTATGTATTTTTCTTCGTATAGAAACCGAAAATAATCATATAATAATGCCAGACTTAAGGAAAAATTGATACATTGAAATAAAGTGAATAAAGTTCTTATTCGTATCGTTATAAAATCACTATCAGTTATGCCTCATTGATAGAAATTGATTTCAAATTGGATTAAATGCGAGTAATATTGTACTACAAAACGTTAATTAGATTATATTTTTCATTAGGACGTTTGTTATAAAAAAACTAATAATCTCATGAAAACTATGAAAACTTGAAAATACGATAATACGTCAATTATTGCTTTCCAATTAATTGTCTTTATGAATTATTTCGTTTCGCTAAATTTGAATAATTTGCGTATCTTTTGTCTCTCGATTTAAGTGATTTTTTATGTTCATGTCTTTCATGGCTATATGGGTGAGTGTATTAATTTTTCTTTTAATTTTTCTTTATTATAAAATATTAATTGGTAACGATTTTGATAGCTGCACAGATTTTTATTTGTTATTCGTTGCCATTGGAATGGTCAATCATTGCCAATTGAATAAGAAGATTGAGTTGCCACTCTACCGTCTTGCCATGAAGAAGTGAGAATTTACATTATACGTTCAGACATACTGATAAGGGCTCGGAATGTTTATGCGTAATTAATTTATACTATATTTCGATAATAAACGATTTTTATTTTCACACTAACAACCGCGTAAAAAACTCTCTTAGCCCTTATTTGTTCTTTGTTTTTTGAATTATTTCGTATTTTTAAATTCGATTTATATCGACTATAATATATTAATAATTGGCAACAAAAAAGTTCTCTTATTTAAAAAACAATGATGAATGACGAGATACCCTCTTTCTTTTTATTCGAACTTGGGACCGAAAGTAAAGTTACATTTCTTATTTACATATTTACATATTTATACACACACGTATATATATGTATATAAATACAGGCTGTTTGATAGGTAACGAGAAAATTCTCACAATACAATTTTCGCAATAGTTAATAAGATATTAATTACTAAAAATTATCGCGGAATATTCGTTTTCAATAATTTTTTACTCAAGTACTATCAACTTTACAGAAAAACATCATGTGACAAAAATTGTTAATTTTTTTCTTATAGAGTTCTGAGAATTTTTTCCGAATGTTTTAGTACTGCATTTTCTCATGTTGGAAAAATAGTTGCTAATAAAAAAATGCAGCACTAAAAAATTGATAAAAAATTCCGAAAAAATTCTTAGAGCTTTATGAGAAGAAAATAGAAAATTTTTGTCTCTTGCCGTTCTTCTGTGAAGTTGATAGTACTTGGATAAAAAATTATTTATATAATAACATGTCTAATATTTTGGAATAAAACCAATATTTTGATATAATGGTGATTTTTAGCAATTCATATCTTGTTTAACCTTTTGAGGACTGGCATGTTTTTAATCGACTTTTTTATTTTAAGAGCTAGAACTTTCTTGTCAATGTCATAGGATTGAGTGGCGAAGCTTGGACACTCTCGCACGCGTCCAAGCTCACACATACATAATATTAGAACTCCTGTTCAATTTTTAAAAAATTGAAATTGCTTTAAGGCCTTTTAAAGCTTGAAATCTCTACTATTCAGGTCAGTACTTTAGAAAGTCTTACTGATATTTTATGGAATTACACAAACATAAACGAAGATGTATAAAATTTCAAAATTTTTTACAAAATTTTTGAAGTTCCACGGCGTCAATTAAAAATTGCGTACAAATGTTCACAGCTTTCGAAAGAGTGAATCTTTACCTTTAACTTGCATTTTTATAGACCTCTGTACGACTTTTTTTCACCGAGTTATTCAACATTGAAGCAAAAAGGATCCTTTCTTATTTCTGAGACACCCTGTATATTAGCAATTGCAACAGTTATGCGTCGCCTCCGAATCTTTGCTGCAGCTGTAGCTGCTACTATGCGGGTATGTTCTTTTACATACTCGATGTATTCTCATTTTTGTAATCCATTTTTTACTCAAATGAATTAAAAGCTAGCAAAAATAAACGAGTGTATTTGTTAAACTTAAAGCCAGCGAAGATATGCTCCATGAAAAGGAAGCAGGAAAAGAGCAAACAGCTTTTGAACGCTGCTTTGATTGTGGTCGAAGTTGGGGGCAAAAAACCAGCTTAAAAGTGAAAATTTTAACCATTGAAGTTAATGGAGAAATTTTTCACTTTTCACTTTTCATCTTAGGAAAAAAGTTTCATAATTGATACCCAGAGATATAGCGTGACAAATTTGCAGGGTTTCACATACTCTGGTGAGGCCGGAAAGGTAATCAAAAATAATAATGGTCTACTAGGGTTATAAGAAAACTTTTTCGTTGCCAATTATCAATATTACAGTCGATATGAATCGAATCTAAAAATACAAAATGATTTGTAAAAAAGATTAGTTGGAAAGCACTAAATAATCCCAGGTAGCAAGCTGTCGTTATTTTGTCGTCGATAGTTAGTAATTTTAAATGATTGATGTCACGTGACCTATTTAAGACGTAATAATGATGTCATCTTTTTGACCAATTAATGATGTCATTTATTTATGACGTCTTTATAATGTCATACTTAATGACGTCGAATAAATGGCCAATTGTCGACGTACTAGTAATATTATTAGTGATCAATTAATAGTGAGCGTCATACATTTATTTCGTTAATAATACGAAAATAATGATGTATTTTTTATGACATTGTGTGAGTGATAAGAAATATAAGAATTCACATCATTTTTACGATGTTTAGATGTCAAGGAGCTTATTATGGTTCTTAAAATGAGGTGGAAATTACAAAATTGAATTTACTAGAATATTTATAACTTCAACACCTAGCAAATTTGTTCATTTTTGTAATTTTCACTTCGTCTCAGGAACCATATAGATTTGTCATAAGAATAACTAATTAATGAGGCTAAATGAACGACACCTTGCTACCATCAATAATACGAAAAAATAACGTATTTTTGACGTCGATCGATTTATGACGTTATATGTACCTGCTGTGACAAATCCACGTCATTTTTACGATGTTTGGACGTCATTTTAAACGTCACATTCGTCATAAGAGTGACTAAGTAATGACGTTAAATAGACGACATCTTGCTACCTGGGTGTTTTATCGTATTTTGAAGTTTTCATATTTTTCATAAGATTATTAATTTTTTTTTAAACAAATGTTTTAATGCAAAATATAATCTAATTAACGTTTTGTGGTGCAATATTACTCGCATTTTATCTAATTTGGAAATAATTTCTAAATCATTAAGGCATAACTGACAGTGGTTTTATAACGATGCTAATAATGACTTTTTTCATTTTATTTCAATGTACCAATTTTTCCTTAAGTCTGGCGTTATTATAATGATTATTTTCGGTCTCTACGAAGAGAAATATATAAGAAAACATAGAAATTAAACGATCCCCGAGTGGTCGCGAAATCCTCGAAAATTGGTATCCTTTCAACAATTTTTAATTTAAATAATAGATATATCGTCCACATGTTTAGTACAGTGTAATATAAAGAATTTGTTTTTTGTTTTACACAGAGAATGAAGCAAAAACGTTATATTTTTACGTACCCATGGGTCTTACTATCATTAGTAACGTTTTTTTTTTCGTCTGCACAACACTAACGATTCTGAACCAGAAAATGAATACAGCTAGTGAGTTGAGTAATTCGGAGGGCACGCGCCACGATGAAAATAAGCAGAGGTCTGTACAATTAAGATAAAACAAAGCGACTTCGACCAACTCCGATTAATTTGAATCGGCGATTAGATTGGAATTGACCAATTGTATTTGTCATTTAACTTGACGATGGATGCGATTGATCAATAGACTAACCGTCGATTAAAGTTAATCGGAGTTGGTTGAAGTGGCCCTAAAAGAATTAATGTTATTCAATGCACTCGCATTTACAAAAAACTACATGATGTATAGATAATTGATACTAAAGGAAAAATTAATTATTATTATTTTTACACATATTTAATAACAATAGTAAATAATTGAAAACAATTTTAAAAACCAATAAACAAAATTTTAATCACAGAAAAATTTCTGAGAAATTTTGAAATTCTCTGTGATTAAAATTTAGCTTATTGTTTTTAAGATGCCTAAGATTGTTTACTATTGTTTATTATTGTTATTAAGAATGTGTAAAATTAATAATAAAAAAAAAACATTTCTTTACATGTATTTTTAATATCCCTAAAAGATATTATTTATTTTATTAATATATCTTATAGTCACAATTAAAATTACAAACAATACAAAAATATATTTGCTCACAGGTTTAATATGTACTTGAAGCTGTTCATAGTGATGGGAATAACTTGGGTTTTGGAGATACTATCGTGGGTGATTGGTACCAATATTGTGCCAGCGTTCATCTGGTATATCACCGACACCATAAATGCCTTGCAAGGTCTCATCATTTTCATTGTATTTGTGTTTAGAAAGAAGATCAAGGACATGATATTAAAACTATTTCGCGGGAAGACTTGCGGTCCATTTAAGATTCCAATAGGCGATAGTATAGCTTCGAACAGTACTACATCCACTACGCTGTCCAGATCAATGTCCATGCAACAAATCAGTTCCTCTAATTAACAGCTAATCATCTCAAAAATTTAATTAGTCTTACTGATAAATGTTGCAATGCAAAGGGAAAGTTCTATTATAGATGAGAGTTAACAGTTAATTAGCAGCATAATTTAATTCTTCAGTCAAAGATCTTACGTACATACATACTATATCAGATTACATTGTTTTACGTTGTCTTTTTTGATCTCTTTATAAAAAAGACCAAAATTATACAAGAAGAGACTGTCTCAAATTTTAATAATTCTCTTCGTCTTTCACTTTACAACGCGTTTCAAATTTTATTTCAAATTAAGAACATGTGATTATGAATAATCCCTTATTTTTTAAGTGTGAAAATAATGAAATGTAAAATAATAAGTGAAAATAATAAATGTGAAATATAATTTTCAATTAACATGTGAAGAATTTTATTTGATTTTTTATTTAAAAGCCCGAACATTATTCATGAAATACATCAGAGTATAAAATTTTTCATACATAAATACCCAGGAAAAAATGTTTTAAATTATAAAATTTTATATAACTTCTATAAATGAACATATTTTATATGTAATCGTATATAATTATATATATATATTTATACGTATATAATATATGTAGAGGAGAGCCCCCTATTATATGAGATAGGCACCTAATATATGAGATAACGACATTTCCATTAAACTAATAAACGCTATCTGTTGGTTCCACCATGAATTTATTGTTCTTGGATTGAAAACTATTTAGTGGAAAATTTATTATTAGATTGTGCCTATTAGAGATAATCAGTTAGCGCCCTCATTGGCTTAGTAATCTTGTTATTGTTTAGTTGTGCTCGATATATCTTGTGTTATTCACTCACGCCTAATATACCAAATATCCTGCTGCGTCAACAATGCCTGTAGTCGTTGAAAAAAAAGATTTTAGAATTTGGATGTCTTCAAGTTTCGTTGAGATGAGCCTTTATAAATCTTGTTTATTATTTAATAAGTAAATATTTGGCAATAAATTCTTCATGTAGTGATAGAATAAGATCGTACTAATAGAAAAATACGGGATATGTTAAATTGCTTAATTACAGAAGTTATATTTGATAATCGTAAAACCGTAAGGCGTGGAAATGATAATATAATATGAAATAATGCTCCTATATCACAGTGAAAATTGTTGCTGAAGTATAAATGTTATTTTACAATAATAAAAAGGACAATCGAAATGAACATCGAGTGCCTGTTTCTGCGATACTTGGTTCCAACTACCTGAAAACGAGTCCTAGATACAATGCAATCATATTCATGTTGCGCGCGCACTGGCTGTGTTTGTTTGTATTTTAGAAACATTCAATAAAATTTGTTAATTCTATACTGATGTACTTTGCGTTTTATTATCGATTTCTCGGGGCATCTCATACTAGGAGCACAATTTTTTTACTTTGCGATTTGCTCATTTTTTACATTTCTTTAAGTTATAAAAAAAAATATAATTTGAATTAAATTTTACATAACATTATCTTAAAGCTTATTAAATTCCCTCTTCTAAATAACCTATTATTTTTTTAAATTCTGCCCATAGATTTCTAGCATTTACCCAAAATAAACTCGGTATCTCATAATTGGAGCCTTTTCTCTATAATTGTATATATTTATATATAAAATTATATATAGAATCCTATTTAATTAACTTGAATTGGGATTAGAGAGAGAGTCATCATATTTGAATTAAAATTTATTTAAAATATTAACTTTAACATGAAATTGATTTTGACCTGAATTAAAATTAATTTTGATTAAAATTATTTTTATAATTTGAATTGGAATTTGCTCTTACTTAGATTAAAATTGGCTTCAACTTGGCTTCAAACTGGCTTTAATTAATATTTATATATTGACTTAAATTGAAATTGGCTTTGACTACGATTAAAATTACTTTTAATTTAAATCGTATTATATTTTGGTTAAAATTAAAATTAATTTTAATTTGAAATAAAATTTTAACTTATACCAGAGAGAAACTCTCTGATATAGGTCTGTTTTCTGTAGTTGAACCATTGTATACTTTTAGAACTTACATTGAAATCGTTATACGTTTGATATTTGTCGAAAGCGAGAAAGAGAGTTCTGGAGCAGTCTAATGCAGGAACAGAAAACACACCATTGCTGGATTCACACTGCATCCGATTTTCGTCGTACGAAGCAAAATCCATCGGAATCCTGTTTTCTGATTGGTTGCAGAGCGTCGTACGACGCAAATCGGATGCAGTGTGAATCCAGCATATAAGCGATGAGCGACGTCATGAACACGTACCTTAATGTTTCCGAACGCAGCTCAGTTCTCGAAAATTTGAATCACATGACATTTTGCTTGCTGCAGCGCATGTGGCGTTCTGCGCATGAAAAGTCAGCTTAATATTACATAGTTTGTCTTTACTTTCAGTAATATTGAAACGTATTGAAAGTATTTATTGATACGATTATATAATAATAAACATGTGCTAATGATAAGAATCATGTTAGCGCATGAAAATGTCTGTGAGTACTAAGTTATATTATCTGAAAATTGCGAAAACGAATGTTTTCTTGCTCATATTATAACTAGTTTAGATTAGGTTATTTTCCTGTACTTATAGATTTTATTTTACATTTAGGTCGATAGAAATGAGCAATTAATTAAAATTAAAGTTGATCATGTTATTTGTTATTCGTCAGTTAAGAAACTGTCGGCACATATCATGCAGTTTTGTGCCAAAATTTTCTGTTATCATGGTTTGTAGCATCGATAAAATTTGCTCACGTACACTGCTCTGTATATTTTTATAAGAAAAAGAAATAAAACTTTAATTCTAGTGTTCTGGCTTTCCAAGACGAAAATCGACAAAGACTGGAAACATGGAAGAATTAGCACAAACTATGAAAGGTGGTCACAAACGAGTTGGTCTTACTACTCTAGTTCCTTTTCCTGAGAAAAATGTTGCATGTAAAATTGAAAAAGATCCATGTAAAATAGAAAAGACAGAATGGACATCTTTAATAACTGATTATATAAAGCTTCATAAGCATTATCTCAAATTATCAAAGATTAAATTGACATGTATGTATATCAATCTTTTACATATATATATATACACACACACACACACATTAGACTACTAATTTAAAATATAGTTAATTATAATTAGGAAAAACATATTTTTCTTAATTAAAACATTTGATACATTGTAAACTGATCCATAAGCACTTCAATATATACATGTGTGTATATATATATATATATATTATTAACTAACTAAATTAAAATTCTATTTTATTATAGCTCTTGTTGTAGCAACAACTATGGCTGGATATGCACTGGCTCCTGCACCATTTGACCTTTATACATTTGCAATGTGTTCTTTAGGAACAGGCTTAGTCTCTGCCACTGCAAATACAATTAATCAGTTTTTTGAAGTTTCTTTTGATGCACAGATGTCACGAACAAAAAATCGGGTATTAGTACGTGGTCATTTAACGTGAGTTTTTTTAAACTTTTTTATTCCGACATAATTAAATTTATGTAACTTGATACTAAGTATAATGGCAATTGTATATATACATAAACATCATCAGGCCTGTTCATGCAATAGCATTTGCAGCAGTATCTGGTATCATTGGATTGTCCATACTTTACCATGAAGTAAATGGTATCACGGCAATGCTAGGTGCTAGCAATCTTATTTTATATACGCTTATATATACTCCCATGAAACGCGTTAGTATTGCCAACACATGGATTGGCTCTGTTGGTGAGTATATATATCTTCACGTGTATCATAATATTATAACTAAACTTGCATTATAATTTTCTTTGCAGTAGGAGCTATTCCTCCTCTTATGGGGTGGGCAGGTTGTTGTGGCAATATACTGACACCAGGTGCTTGGATATTGCCTGCTATTTTATATGCGTGGCAATTTCCACACTTTAATGCTCTTTCATGGAATTTAAGACCAGATTATTCACGAGCTGGCTATCGAATGATGGCTGTTATAAATCCAGATTTATGTCGTAAAACAACTGTAAGATATACAGTAATGTTAATGGCTCTGTGTTATTTAGCTCCTGCATTGGATGTAACCTATTGGTGGTTTGCATTGGCTTCGACGCCACTCAATGCATCTTTTCTGTATCTAGGTAAAATACACTTTTATTATATATATATATTTTTTTTTTTAATTTTATAAAATTTACATGCGATGTAATTTACATATACAATATATTTAAAAATTAGAGTCAAATTTTTACAGTGTATTAAATGAAAAGAAAAAAAGGACAATAGTTTATCTAATTAAATTATTAAAGTTATTCTTATATGGTTTTATAGCTCTTTGAATGAATTATTGCTTAAAACATGATTTGACTATTTACACATTTCAATATGCTGTATAAATTTGACCTCAATCTTTTTAGATATTTCGTATACGTATGTATGCACGTTTTCTCTATATAAGTACATGATATTTCCATAATTTTAGCTTGGACATTTAATAAGCATTCGGATAGTGCAAATTCTAGAAGATTATTTCGATTTTCGTTACTTCACCTACCTCTGTTGATGATGTTGATATTGTCAAGTAAAAAGTATTGGGCTAACACAGACAAACAGGGAGATAAAGTCGAATCTTCTCATAACGAATCAGCAAAGAAGAATAATTTACTGACCATTTTCACTGCACCTATCGCTACTTCTTCTGTATAGTTTTATTCCATTGGACATGTCAGTAATAGTACAAATTATTACAATATCGTCATAAAAATTTCAGGTAGAAGATTCTAAGACTTATATTACCTCATTAACTTTTCAAAATACGATATTGTGTAAAATAGACTGTAGATATATTCAATTGGGTTTGTAGTATCTGTTATTAATTTAAAAAATAAAACGAAAATAATATCAGATATTCTCATAGAAGATGGTAATAAAATACACCAGAAACGAACAGTTAAAATGTTATGTACATTTATATATCTAGTTTTATTTAAAATATTTTAATACATAGTGTCATGTCATATTTTCAACTTCTTTACGCTTTGCCTCAAATTCTTTCGCCATCTGTCTTCTAGTTTTAGTTAGATTTCTGTGACCAGCACAGTCTAAATTTTCTATGTAACATTTGTTCCTGCAGCATTGACGACACAATTTATATTCACATTTAAAACCCTAAAATTTAAAATAATGAAATTTAGAACTTTTTCTGTTCAAAATATTTCTATTTTTTTAAATCTTTTTTGAAAAAATTTTTTAAAGAGTAAGATAAGAAAAGTTCACATTTTGAAAATATTCCAACTAACCAGAGGATTCGGACAGGCATGACACCGATCTGAACTTCTTTTAGGAATCGTTGCTCTATTCGGTTTACGCGCTATCCTCTTAAGCTTTTTTGAACGTTTTCGTGATATTTCGTTTCCTTCCTCGTCTCTATATTCACGTTTCCGAGGTGCACCTTCCTGAAAATTATCGTTATTTTGAAAAAACATTTCTTCAATCATAATATAATAGAAAGATTAACAGTAAACGCAATTAATCGTATTTGACTCATCTACCTGTATTTTTTGTGTGTACTCTTGTGGTGGCTCTCGTACGTAAGGTTGACACAACCACGGTGGTAACTCTAAATTATAATCTAAAAATATCAAAGGATTTTTAATGTGAACGTGTAACAAATGCAAATAATATTCTGTAAACGTCAAGTCATTACCTGTCTTTCCCGTCTGCCATATCAAATGTCCTTCATGATACGGTAGATAACGATCCCTCAAGGCATATGCGACACTTCTAAAAGCTTCCAAAGTGGAGTTGGTGGCCAAGTTTTCTCTTTCTTCTTGATTTTCTGCTAAACAAAGTCTACTCTCTAGTTAAAAGCATGCTGTATGATGAGCGTATGTTTGGGAATTATGTTTTGCTATTTATAAGTCGACATGATCGAAAAATCAATACATACACATGGTGGAAGAGTTTAAATAAATGACCACGGATGTACGATGCTGGTACCGGATATTGCTCTACAAGTTCCAGATATTCCAGAGCAGGTTCCCAACAGGCGGGATAACGAGACTCAAATATGTATGGATTATAAAGATTTCCTTCCGCTGACATCACACCTTGCACTTGAATTTCCTCAATGCACCGCTGTACATCTTGCATACATTGTATGTTGCCATTGGCGATTACAGGAATTTTCACGGCATCTCTGATAAAACATATCAATTATTAAAAACAAGAAGCACAAAATACAGAGATTTTATTGTAAATACCAAAAAGCATATGTATAATGAATGCTTCAAGTAAAATGAAAAACAGGAATTACCTTGCTGCTTTAATGTGCTTCCAAGACGCTAATCCAGTTAATGGACCTTTTTGTTCTCTTGTACGTCCATGGATAGTGAGTAAGCTAGCACCTGCATTCTCTAGCATACAAGCATATTGTACAGTACGACTGATTTCTGAGAACACCCGTAATTTACAAGTAACAGGTATGCATAATCCATTCTTTAATGTCGACACTACATACATAAGAGATTTATTATATTATATTATTGTATTATATATATATATATAGAGAGAGAGAGAGAGAGAGAAAGAGAGAGGAGAGTCTAAAATCTGTTCAAGTGTATAATTAAAATGTATGCATACCGATTTTCTTTAACAAATCCCAATCATCTTGTAAGAAAGCTCCATAATGTCCTCGCTTTGCGATTGCTTGAGGACAACCGATATTGATGTCAATTGCATCACAGTATGGTTCAGCCCAGCGTGCAGCTTCCAATAATATATTTGGATCACTGCCACAAAACTGGAAAACGAATTACTATTGCACAAAATTTAATGTCGAATGTTCTTTTCTTTTTCGTTCTGTTGCGCATTTAAAATATTAACTTGTACGAAAATGTTTGTGAAAGATTATTTAAAACATCTATTGAATCTTGAATTGAGCGCATTATTTCAATCACACGATTGTTTGGTCACATACTTGAGATTTCGAAGAATTCTAACTAAATTTCGAGGAGTTATATCCTTTACACTTTTAAATTTTGTTCTTTTGTTAAATGTTCCTTCGTATATGTATAATCCCGAAAAACCTCATGTAACTAGTCGAGGACTAATTTTATAGTCTATACAATCGCAGTCCTATAGTTGTGTCAAGCAGACCTGTACAATCAGTGGACGATCTTCGCTAGTACTAGCGAGAGCTTCTCGCCTATATTTGGGATCCCGACAGAATACGGAGGAGTGCAACATTGGCGTGTAACAGAGCTGGGCGCCGTGTCGCCTGCTGAGTAATCTCCATGCCAATTCGCTCGCATCCACCATTGGTGCGACTATGTAACGCGGTGAACCCAAATCTTCCCAAACGTTAGTCCTCTTCTTCGAGACAGCATCCTCTTTGTCAGGTGACTCCATAGTCTCGGACGTTATCTGCGCGTATGAAGGTCGCATGAGCGATGCTACTATTTGCGACTACGCAAGGCTCGGAGCTAAGTTATACATTTAGCTTTTTTTTTCCCAGGTGTAAGGAAACTTGTCATGATGCAATAATGTGATCACTTGCAGGCATTACAAATTCAATACAGTAACATCAATTGCGCCATATCGGTACAAACTGACGTCGTACGATTTGGAACTACTATACTATAATCGCGTCGTATTACTTGGTATTATGCTTGGCCGATTGTTAAAATGGTCAATTTCTATAAAATTGAACTTTTTATCTTTATATAATATCTAACCGTACTTGATTATAACTGATATTTCTTGCAAGTAATCCGTTTCTTTCTTACGAGACAAGGCATTTGTATTAGTATAATTGGTTGGGTACACATAGTAGACATTGTCAATTATACAGGATGCCCTCGGATGTTTTCATCATGTAAAATTATAAAAAGCTTGGACAAATTTTTGATCGATATCAAACAAAAATTTAATCATTTACTTTATTTGCTTTACTTGAGCGATAATACATCGTATATGAGTCTGTCCATAAGAAATCGAATTTTATTTCCAAGACATTGTGTTGTGTCTGCCAGTTTGCACCACATTAAAATGTATAATTTTATATATTATTAAAACATTTAATTTTACATTTACATATTACAAAAGTTTGATTAATAATAATAATATTAAATTAAATAATGTTATTTTCTAAAAAAGGCAGACTCGTATATACGATGAGTGTATTTGATTGTAAGAGGATTCTTGCCAAATCGCTTTTAGGCTTTATATTCCTAATTCCTAAAAAGTAACACCTCAGTTGCCGACAACGTTACTCGTGTAATGGTGGGAAGGCGAATATAGAATTCGATCGCGACGGCGATCTCGGCGTAGCCGGTTTCGAAAGCTCCGATTCCGGTATGGGCGACAGTTGAGCGGTCTGCGTTACGACATGCGAGCCGATCTTGAAGTGCGGTCTCTTCTTGGAAAAACTCCCGCTCCGCCGTGTGCGAAGGTGAGTTTGATTTCGTTTAGATACCGTGGAGGGCGGCGTCTGCCCCAGGACGGAAATATCAGTGGTATTTGAAGGTACTTTTCTAATTTTGCGCACGGTGCGCGAAAAATCTAGGGCGGGTAGCCTCGCCGGTGGACGTGAGTAATCCGGTGGTGTCGTCAGTTCTGTCGTCAATGCTTCGACATTCCGATCCTGATGTTCGGTTAAAGCAAGTGCGATGTCCGGAGGACTGCCTGGCTGCGGAATGATCTTGTTGCCGCAATGACGAGCGATCGCCGACGACGAAGTCGTTAATCGTTGCCTCGAACCTTTCCTCAGACGAGCCTGCAGAAAAGTCTGTATTCTTCTCATTGTTCCGCAGGATCGTTTCGTCGGTTCGATCCTATTATCTCCGGTGCGACGCTTTCGTCCGTTTCCATCGTGCCTGCTGCCATCGGGATGGTTCATGATGGAGAAGCAACAAGACACCGGCGAAGGCGTGGAGGATGATTTGGCATCCGGCGAGTCACGCACATGGTTTCTCAGCTCCATCGCGTCCGTCGTCTGCGAGGAAGAGACCTGAATGGAGGTCTCGGTGGTGCGCGAATCGTACGAGAAACAAAGACGAAAATTCCGGCCACCTCTCATCGAAGGTAATCCATCTCTCGTCTTGGAGAAGACATCTTTAACGTTCGCCGTTGCTTCGTCGCTCCGGGTTTCCTCGTGCGTCGAGCAAACGTACACGTCCGTTGTCGCCATCGTCATTCTCGTTGTGCTCGTAGTATTAGTTTTGCGTAGAGGACCATTCTCGCAGAAGCGAGAATAGAGACCTCGCCCGCCAGGTACCGTCCGGTTGATGTGATCCTCATCGGCAGCGGTACAATAAGGTATGCCACATAGGCCAGAGGTAGACGTTGTTCTGGAGTCGGCGACAGCAGTACCCCTCTCCCGTTTGTTGCGCACGTATTCATACGTGGTGAGACCAAGACAGGCGATATAGCCGTGAAAGAAGCAGAGGTGTATGAGCATCACCGCAGCGATGGCCGAGAGAACGCCAATGACAGTGACGAGGACGAGCGAGCCGGTGCCAGGCATCGGCAACAATGGTGGCGTCGCCGTGGCGTTATTCATGCTCGTGTTCCTGTGATCTGCACTGTCCCATGTTCCAGACGATCCATTCCAGTTTATTCCATTATTAACGAATAAATGTGCGTTAACGAGCACCAGCTC